TAGATCATCTCTGAATTTCTGTTAGAATTCAGCAACCAATCCGTCAATACTTGAGCATTTCTTTGTTGGTAGTTTTTTTTAAATTACTCCTTCAATTTCATTGACTGATATCAGGAAATTTAGAATTTTATACCTTCTTGATTCAGCTTTCATAATTCATGTGCATGTAGGAATCTGTCTATAACTTCTGAATTTTTCATCTTAGAGTATAGGTTCTCACAGTAAGTATTGATGAACTACTAGATTTCTGCAAGATCTATTGTGATTTTACCTTTTTCATTCCTAATTGCATGTATTTGAGTCTTTTCTTTCCTTTTTGGGATAAAGTTTGCTATTTTATTTAATCTTTCAAAGAACCAATTCAATTCATTGATTCCCTGTATTGTTTTCTGAGTCTCAGTTGCATTGATTTCTGCTCTAATCTTTATAATTTTTCTTCTCATACATGCTTTGGATTTAACTTGCTCTTCTTTTTCTAGAATGCTGAGCTTCAACATTAGAGTAGCCATTTGAACTTGCTCTGTTTCTCTATTGTGGGAATTCAGTGCTATAAATTTCTCATAGAACTCCTTTCATTGCATCCCATAAGTCTGATGTCATATTGTCTCGCTGTTTTTTGAATTAAGTGAATTTTGTTTTGACTTTATGTAGAAAAATTTATTGTTTTAGATTATTATCCTCAAAACCTAACATAAATTTTATTTAGCTAAATTGAAATCAATAACTTTGCTCTTTTCCCAAATAATACAAAGACTTAATCATGTTTTCATTCTGATGTCCCCTCCTGACTTTCTTGCTATTATTATCGAGGATTTTAATTCTTTGCTTGTTTTTAAGCTACCAGATTAGGCATGTTAACAACTGCTTATCTGGCAGTTATTAAGCTGCAAATCACAACTCAAAAGATTTCAAAATTTTACTGGTCCTTGAAATCCCAAACCATTGCTATGAACAGTTAGTAGTGTTTGGGGATGTGGATATCAGGCAACTTGAAAGCATATCTTCTTGGTTATATAAAGAGCCTTGCTGGTTGTTCAGGTTGCATATAATTCTGTGGTGTAAACAGTGCTTTGCTACCTTAGCTGAACAGCATTGGATGATCAAGAAGTTTGTAGTACTCTCACAACTGTGTTTAACAATTTGCCTAAGATTGAGTCTATAGTAGCAAAATGACCCATGTACTTCATACACTCCCTGGGTTCATCTGGTGGCACTTGTATGTCCAGTTTTTAAAGGACTCTGCTTGGAAAGCCACATAGCCCAGTATTCTGCCAATGATTTATCGGACGGGATAGAACCACGTGATCTCCAAGTTTGTTTTTAGCGCTAATGTAGGCTATGACTGTAGCTTCCTGGACCCGTTTTTTTAAAAATATTCAGATTAGATCCTGGGAGAACATGGCGGACAGACAACAGCAACTACCAGAGGCTCTCTGAAAGATTCGGCTCAGAGGCCAGAAACGATGCGGACTAGGGAGACACGAATCAGCAGCGATATGCTCTGCTGACTCAGGAACGAACTCGGCTGAGAGAATCCAATTTGGAATGCAGTCCTGGCACTAAAATAGGAACAGAAAAATCTCGGTGTAGAGGCTCGACCTCGCGCCATTGGAAACCGCGATCTGGGTTTCCCGACGTCCGGCGACTGGCTGCCTCCACAGTGGCTCGGCAAGGAGAGACGCGCCGAGCTCTAGGAGCGCCGAGCTCTGGGAACGGGAGAACGGAGTCGAAAAAAAAGGACGGACAGAGGCGTACACGAAAACTGACTGCTGGCGAGGTGAGTGAGAATCTGACCCCCCACCACAGTTCGACTCTAGCGGAAGTCTCTCTGGGCGCCATTCCCCTCTCGGACGGGATTGGAGAAAAGTGCCTGGCCTGAGTGACGCTGCTGGCGGACTCTCTAGGCTAGTCTAGCCTAACCCAGATCCCAGAGCCGGATGATGGCCCGGAGGAGCGACTGACTTCCGCGTAGGTTGCCTCCTCCGACTCCCTGGTGCGCAGCGGTGGGCGGGAACAACTAGCCAGCGCAATTTGATCAGGCTGTGGCTGACAGGCAGGGAAGCCGGGCCTCCTTTGTAAGATTGCATTTTATAAGGAACAAAAAATATGGGGAAGGGAAGCAACAAAAAAGGCTCCTCGGCCCCCAATCCTGAGAAACAGGCAATAATGGACACCGCACCAACATACATTAAACACCATATTGAGAGCCTCATAGACCAATTCAGGAATGAAGTTATCAATGATCTGAAGCTAGAAGTATGCAGAATAGTTAGAGAAATGCTAAACACCACCCAGGAAAAAACAGATGGTGGAATGGAAGAACAGAAAAAGAGGGGAGAATTGCTTGATGGAGAAAACAGAGAAAGCATTGAGTATGTGAAGCAGGTTCAAAGGGACTATCAAGAAATTAAGAAGTCTATACAAGACTGGCATAACAGCTTGAAAGAAACTAAGGACAGACTATCTGAACTGGAGGGCAGACTTGAAATATGGGAGAATGAAAGGAAAAACTTCTTAAAAATAGCAAAGAAACAAACAACAATAATACAAAGACAAGAAGATGATAAGAGGAGCCACAACGTAAGGATTAAGAACATAAAAGAAGAAATAGGGACACAAACAAGTGAATTACAAAAGCTACTCACAGAAATAATCCAGGAGAATTTTCCTAATTTAGCAAAAGGTAAAGATACTCAGATGTATGAGGCATACAGGACCCCAGCTACCTACAACCCTAACAGAGAAACACCCAGGCATATAATAATAAAAATCCCAGAAATTCAATACAAGAACAGAATATTAAAGGCTGTAAGAGACAAGAAACAGATCACTTACAAAGGAACACCCATCAGAATTACAGCAGATTTCTCTTCACAAACCATCAAATCACGAAGAGCATGGGGGGAAATAATTCAAGCTTTGAAGGATAATAATCTCCAGCCAAGATTGAGATATCCTGCACAACTGTCCCTGGAAATTGATGGAAAAACGAGGTGCTTCCAGGATAAAGAGGAACTGGGGGAATTTGCAACCACCAATTCAACTCTACAGAAAGTATTGCAGGATATTCTAAAAAAAGAAAAATACAAAGAACCCAGAAATAGTGGCAGGGAGGCCACAACGTATGGAGCAGAGAACAAAATGAAGAAGACAAACTGACAGCTACTGACAGAAAAAGAGCTCAACAGAAATGAGACAGAGAAGATTGGATGATAGGAACAGCTATTTTTGAGAAAATGACATCTTAATAGGTAATGCTGATTTAGTACCATCTTGTTTTGAAGTCTCATCTAGCTTTTGTTCTTCTGTCTCCAATGGTCTAACCAGGTTGTATCTTATTGGATTTTGTTTTGTACGTTAGTATAAGCAAAAACCTTTTAAAGACAAGGAGATTATACAGAGACCATTGTTCATTTTCTGTTAGTCAATTCCAAATACTCTATAATGCTGTCATTCTCTTAAATGGTTTTACATTGTTTTGATATACTTAATGCTACGGTATATGAAGTTGTACTCAAGGACTTCAGGGAGGGAGTCAATATGGTAACTATTTTTAAGTCGGAAATATCTGGTGGTGAAACACTATTCTGCTTAAAAGGTTATGTTTTGATCTGCCCTGTTTCGCTGTTATGCCCTTTTTTTTTCTTTTTCTCAATCTCCACTCCATTATATACTTTTTTATTGTTATCCATTTAATTAAAGGGAAAAATATAGCAGGATATAATATAGTAACCCACTTTGACTTTCTATTATCTCGATTTGAAGCCCTGTATTACTCTCACCATCTTGTTTTTGACTGAGGTTCCTCTATTCTGTTTTGCTGGATAGTATCAGGTTCGAAAGTTTAGGCATCAGCTGAGAAGATAATGAGATACATTATAACGCCCATTCTCGTTGACTTCTATCAACTTTTGAAGACCTACAATATCTCCAATGTTTTGGTTTTGTCGGTTTTATCCTTTACGGTTTTGTTCAATAGTATTACAACTAATGATATAGGCAATTCTATTAGAAATAGCGGGAGGCATTAGGGTAACCATTGTTGATCACCTTGTATTATATTTTTATATTATCTATTATATCCACCCTTTTGACTTGACCGACTCTGTTCTGTTATGTCACATTTGGTTTTACTCTCTTCCAAAAAAGCAATAAGAACAGTGGGAGCAATGAAACCCAAAATGTGTAATAGTCACTGTACAAAAGAGAGGAAAAGAAAATGCTCTAAACTATATAACTGCATGTTTATTTAAATGTATAAGACAGAAAATGATATCACAGAGTTCTATTGGATCATTGAACAGAACTGTTTGCAGTATCATTGTTGGAATGTCCACTCTACAAACTTTGATTCTGTGACTTGAACAATTATTTCTAAGATAGCAATATGTAATCTATTAACTAGTGATTTCCTACTGCGCATTTTTTTTCTTCTGTAAATCGGTAAAACTTGTACCCTTCACTGTTTTTTTTTTCTTTCTTTTCTTTTCTCGTTAAATAAAAATAAAAAAAAAAAAATATTCAGATTATTTCACAGGTATTTGCTTAAATCTGCAATCCATGTGGACATGAGAGGCATTAGGGTTTCTGATGTAGCTTGTCTTTGTGATACACACTGCATCTGTAGGAGGAGCGCTGCAATTTTGGCAGATGCCCTTTTTCAGTTTCCTGGTATGAAGCTGCCAGAATCCTCATTTCTCGGGTGGAAGAAGAGTGGCATTTAAATATGGCCACAGTGCTATTGCAAAGGTCCCGGGGCCCTTTCATAGATTTAGGTTTATGTCGTCATATGCTTGATGATGACATTTTTATCTAGAGCGTTCAGACATGACTTCTAAGATATACCAAGCACAGATTTTGGAGACCTCTGATTTCATGATAAAATTGTTAACTGGCACCATTGGGTTTGTTATTTTCAATAAATACAAGGAAAGGAAGTATTAAAATAACTTGCCCATGTGAGGGAGGAAATTAACATTTCCTAAAAAATTCTTTTCTAGTGAAGGAAGCCCGTCGCCCAGAGTGGAGCTACTGCATAACATCGACCCGTACTTTGTGGACCCCTCACCATGTAAGTCCCCTGGTCTCTGCTGTTTTGTCAAACTCCTGGCTGATGTAGTGTTACTGTCTACTGTCATTCTAGTCTGGCTTTGTCATTATCCATTTCGATTTTGGTAAAGGCAAACAGTTTTTCTAGACATACGTCCCACTGCTCTTGTTACAGCTTTGGTACCACTAGGACACCATGCCATGAAACGGTCTCTGGTTGACAAATCAAAGCCAGATTTTATGCTGGTTTCTACCACTTACAAGCTGTCCATCCCTTTTCACCTTAGGAATCATGTTATTGCCCGTCTGAGTGTGTGTGTGTGTGTGTGTGTGTGTGTGTGTGTGTGTATTACTGAGGGTTGAATCTAGGGCTTTCATACTGAACTGTATTCTTACCTGGGTATTTCAGAACCATCCTGCAGAAAATTTAGTGTCAAATAAGCCATGCTAGTTTCTAGGGTGCCGTGAGCGCCATCATCTGGTTGGTAGCTGGGTGCTACCCAGCTGCAGGGTCTCTCAGGTGTGATTTTCCTGGCCATCTTCGAAGTTGTTTAGCTTGAACTTGCTTGATGCCTGCATTAACCTGCAAAGAGCCCTATTCATTCCTTCAGGGCAAGAGGACATTCAATGTTCTCGGGTGGCGATGGGCCATAATGGTCCTATGTCAGTACCGTGCTGGCAGCCTTAGAGCCCAGCATGGGGAGTTTGCACCAGACCCTTTGTTCAGATCTCATGGTGATGCTTGTCTTGAGACTGATCATCTTTAGAAACCAGCACTCCTGCATGCCATGTGTCACATAATTCCCACATTCCCTCCTTCCTAGGCATGCTGCCATCCACAGCTCGGTTCTATTTACCTTGCCTTCCTCTCAGTCTGTGCTATACAGGTCACCAGAGTTGTCCCCTGATCTGAGTCCTACTCAGAGTTTCCCTCATGGAATTCTCAATGTGTTGCTGGACACTCAAGGCCAGCAGTGTTAAGTTCTTACCCAGCTGAACACTGTTTGTTATATTTACCATTTCCAAGCATGCAGATCATTATACTTTAAAGTTTTTATTAGTACTCTACATGTCTTTGGTGTATGATTATATTCAGCATAAGGAGCTGGCAAGTGTATGTAACACATCCTTCCCTTTCCTCTTCCCTTCCTCCTCCCTCCATCCCACGATCCTCTTTCTGTGTGTAAGAGATCAGTCTCCCTGTTTCTTGAGCATGCTTTGCCCAGGTTTAAAGTACCTTTTCCCTGTCTCACCACAATGTCTATCAAAACCTAGCCCAGAGTCCCTATCTGAATGGTTTCTAGAAGCCCCAGGAGAAGCAGCTGACCCCTCCTCTTTGCTTCACTTTGTCTGTGTCTCTGAAATACATCCAGCACATTTTTGGGTTTGTGTCTGCATTTCTCTGCTAAGCTAAGAGCTACTGCAAGTCAGGGTCTACAATGTCCTTATCTTTTTTATCCTCATAGTTCATACGAATACTCAGCACTTGGTGGACATTCAGTAGCGATGATGATGATGCAGTGGATAATTGGAGAGGGGCTGGAATGCAACAGAGATGAAAGTAGACATACTAAACCTGGAAAGAAAATGGCCTATTTGAATCGAAGTAAACTTACAGCAATGGGTCGTGTAAGAGTAGGATTTGAGGACTATAGAAGCAGCTTGTATGTTATTGCCTGGTGTGGTAGCTGCTAGCCATGTGTGCCTACTGCTCATGGAATGTGGCTCATTAAGGATTAAGATTTTCTCTAGGTCTGAGATATACATCCAGTTGGGTGTGATGTTGCATTCCTGTTATCCCAGCCATTTGAGAGGCCAAGCCAGAGGATCACAAGTTGAAACCCAACCTGGGCAATTTAGCAAGACCCTGTCTCACAATTAGAAAATTAACAGGTGGGGCCCCAGGAATGTAGCTCAGTGGTAAGGCCCCAGGTCCAATCCTTAGAACCACAAAAAGCCCCACCAACATGGAAAGTGTAACATCTACTTTATTATTTCTTTCCCAAGAGTTGGTTTTCTTCAGTTAATATGTGCACTGCCAAAGCTGGCTCTCTTCAGTCCATTAAGATCCAGTTCCTTCCAGGGGCTTTGGTGGATGTTGTGGTCTAAATTAGGGTGGAGATGTTTGGTTCTACCAGGTTCATGAGATTGATTCCTGACCACTTTGCTGTGAATGGTACAACACACACGGTAATGCCGCTTCACATAGAGGCATGGAAGCACGTAACTATCAAGGACACTCACTTCAGAAATGTCCCTGAATGGCAGCAGCCTCTACTGTGTTTCAGATGACGAACTTCTTAACAGCCTTTTCCTTGAGTATGTGCTGGATACTGTTCCTGCTGCAAATAGGCTGCCCACGACTGCAGCCCTTTTCAGTGCAACCACTGTCCCTTCTGTTTTTCATAATCTTGGAAAAGAGGACCCAAAAGAAGGGCAGCTAATTTTTAAGACTTTATTTTCATATATGATATATATCATAATATACTTTGGTATCAGAATATGTTTCATATAAGTTTTATATAATTTACATGAAACTTGTTGAAATGACAATAATTTTTAAGTTGCATGTATTATTAACAATTTATCTGTTTCTTTTTTATGTAGCTAGGAAAATTATGCAATTTAACATCACATTTCTATTGCTCTAGGTGAAAAGGAATTGTGTAAGAGGATCACAGATCTCTTGGTTACTATAAGGCTACATTAGTGATTCTTAAACTTCCCCTGTCTTTGCACGTCTGAGAGATGTGACAGATTCCGGATGTCTTAGAACCTCTGAGGACAGCTGGAAGACTGTAGTGGTTAGGTGGGGATGCTTGTTACAACTTCCAAGTAATTTAAAGCACAGCAGACCCAGCATACCAGTGCCCTCAAAGCATGCAGACTGTGCTGGACAGAGTGTGATGTCGACTGCCGTCACTTGCTGAGTTACACCTGCACACAGAAGCCTTGCGTTCCCTCACTCATTCAGCTGTACTTGGGCTTGGTATTAGGAGTGGAGCAGGGGGGAACCTTGTCCTTTTTGGCCATGGTGACCTGTTCACAGCAGATTCTCAGCATAACCTACTAGCATCATTGCTCTCTTCCCTAGAGTACTCCTAGCAAGAATAGCAAAGGTGAAAGATTCTTGAAGAATAAACAGGAGTAAGGGTGTGGAGCCCAAAACTGAGAACTCTCCTAGCTGTGCTCTGTGAATGTTAAGGACGTTTGCTTTTCTTAGATGCAGCATCCGCATGTTACTTGCTGTCATGAACTCAGGTATGCATCTGGCCTTCTTCTCACACTGCCATCTATGAACTCTTCCTCTTAGTGACCTTCCCCACCAGCTTAGGACCCTTGCTGATTCCTGTGTGTAATGAGAGATGCAGAACCACATTGCCTGTTCGTTCACACATGGAGTTGTCTCTGCTGTCAGTGCCTGTGGAGAGCAGGGTACTATCCATCCTCCTTTTGTCACAGCAGACACCGTGGGCCTCTTCTGTCCAGTCTTTGTGGTCATGTCAGTGTACTATAGTGGACAGAAAGAGGGCTGTCACTGAGCAAGGGTTCAGTGTTCCAAAACTCCAAAGCATGAAGCTTGGGGAGACATAATATGTAGATATATAACTCATTCCCATTTCTCTGCAATGAATATGTGTGTTTGGGAGAGGTTAAATCAAGCTCTAAGATATATACTGACAGATTTGAAATCATATTTATAGCTACATTTTACAAACATGTTCTAGAAGTCTAGGATTGGGACTCCCATGTGCTCAGCTTCTGCCCAGGACTTGATGGCCAATGGCACCATGGTGGGAGTCCATGTGGAGAGATGAGTAGCAATGCAGGAAAGCAGAGAGCAGGAGGGGCTGAGCCCATGGTTCAACTAACTCAGGGTTTTATGGGAGCTATAGCCTCTCATCCTAGCACAGGGTCCTGGTCAGCCTCGATTTCTAGGTTAGGCAGAGAGTACGCTAATGGACTGCCAGGTGCTCCAGCTTCTGCTGTCAGGTGCCAAGAGTGGTCATGCATAGCAGAATGGCCTTGTACATCCTGCAGAACTCCTTCCATTCTACCCATTCATGTTTCAGGAAGTTGCCTTTCTCTTGCTAAATCCCAAATAGGCCTAGAAGAAATCAAAGAAGCTTGAATATAGTCTATGCTATGGTCACTGCTCTGCAGGTCTGTTCCAGTCGGAGGAGCTGATGTGGACCTGGGTACTCATTAGCTTGCTTTCTCCAGTGCATACCAACTCCAACAGGGAGCGCTGAGATAGCCAACCAGGAGAAGCCGTGGCTGTTAAGTGTTGGAGCTAGAATTTAGAGCTTCCCAAAGCTGGACCTCACAGATAAATCATTTGTGACTGAGTCCAAGAGCCTCTTCAATTTTTTTTTTGTTTGTTTGTTTCGATTTGGTTTGGTTGGGTTTGGTTTTGTTTGTTAAGATAGGGTCTTGCTATGAGGGTCAACGGGCCTGAAACTGAGTATGTAGCCCAGGCTGTCCTTGAACTCATAGTGATCTTCTTGCCTCAGCCACTTGAGTACTGTAATTAGAGGCACGCACTGCCATGCCCAGCTCCTTCACTTTCTGTCCCATACTTGATTGATAGGAAAAGGAGACACAGACCTTAGTGATGGCAGGTTGAAGGGGACACCACTTTGCAGTGAGACTGAAAATGGGCACAGTAGTGACTCCTGCCTTGCTGGCCCCATCTGACCCTGGATGGTGGCCGCTTGCTTGTTGGGTCACAGTGACAGTGGCAGTAAGAGGAGCAGGCAGAATGTGGGGATAGGTGGTATCACCTCATGCAACATACAGAATTTGGGGTGTCAAATATGGATTTGACTGCAGCTTTGACTTATTTCCAAAGAGTCTGAGATAATTTCTTTTAGTTATCTGTTGTCACCTAAAAATGGGGACAGTTACAGGAATCTCCTGTCCAATCATCCACCTGTCACGAACAGCCAGCACTTATATTCGGGCTCCTGGGTTGTGGAGTGGCAAGGAAGCTTTTCTTTTCACTGCTTGTTTTCTCTAGTT